CCCCACCCCCCCCCCCCCCCCCCCCCCCACCCACCCATCCATCCACCCACCCACCCATCCATCCACCCACCCACCCACCCATCCATCCCATCCACCCACCCATCCATCCCATCCACCCATCCATCCATCCCATCCACCCACCCACCCATCCATCCATCCATCCCATCCACCCATCCATCCATCCACCCATCCATCCCATCCATCCATCTACCCATCCATCCATCCCATCCACCCATCCACCCACCCACCCATCTATCCATCCATCCATCCATCCATCCATCCATCCATCCCATCACTCAGAGTGTTACAAACTGGTACATGGTCCAGTGACGCTGTTGCTAGGTATGTTAAAAAACAACAAAACTGAACTAAAGCCACAGAGAAAGCCTGTCTCCAGAACAAAACAAAACAAAACACCCCAATTGAACTCAAGCCAACCTGAAAGCAGGATGTGAGAAACAGCTGTGCATATCCAAATTCAAGGCATTGACTCACAACAGCCAAAGGGAAACTACCCAGATGTCTGTCAATAGGTAAATGCAATATGCTGCACACACACATAGAGATTGTTGTTCTAACGGAAGGAGGGTAGCCCTGGCACATGCTTTAAGATGGATGAGCTTGAGCACATGATGCTAAGTGAAGCCACTCCCTGAAACACAAGTGTCATGTTCTGTAGGAGTTAATGCTTCTCTGAGATACACAGTCAGAGTCACAAGGATAGAAGCTGAGGGGAAGGTGTGTGTCCTGGAGTAAGCGCACTGTGAAAAGGCCCTGGAGCCCCAGTGAGTAACGGCCTGAACTATAGAATCACAGGTTTTCAGCTCAAGATGGATGGCAACAGAAAAGGTTAGTTGTAGAAACTGAAGAGCAGGCTTCTAGATAGGGAGTCAAAGAGGAACTCTAGGGAGTAAAGGGGGGAAGTTAGCTAAATGAAAATCAAACTTCCCCACAATGTGTGGGGTATAAACAAGAGCACTCCACAGATTCCAACACCAACGCTTGCATTTGAGAAAGGCCCAGTGATTTAATTTTCCAACTGCAAGAAGCCAGAAAAAAGTAAAATGAAGCCCAAATGAAGAGGACATAACATGGTAGAGACCAGTGAAACTGGAAACCAAACACGACAGCGGTAGCATAGCAATGCAGTCTGCGGCTTTGTAAACAGACCTTCAGGCCGGGCCGTCAGCACATCTGCCCAGGCTGAGTGTCCCTTGTCCAAAATGTTTGGGACAGAGACGTTTGGGCTTACAGACTGTTTCATTACACACTTACCCAACCAAGTGCTTGGGATTAGGGCCAAGATCTAATCACAGATTCATTTCTGTCTTGCTACTGCAGTGTTTGACTGTGGCTTGCCTCACAAGGTCAGTTGTGGGCTTCCTATTTGTGGTACTATGTTGATACATTCTTAAATTCTGGAGAATTTCAAATCTTTGCATTACGGGTGCACTGACCTACATAAATTTTTAACAAGTGAAATGGACAAATAACTCATTTGATGCAAAATAACTCAAAACTTAAGGAAATTCACTTATAGTCTTGTAATTCCCCCAAATGTTCATGTACAAATGGATTTGTTTAGAATTCTTCCTACCATTTAAAGAATTAACAGCATTCTATGCCATGAGCTCACTGAGAAGTGACCCTGGGATCAAAAGAAAACCCATGATCAGGCTTAGTGGGGAAGGGTGTTTGCTGACAGGCTTGATCCAAATGGGGATGGAAGCAGCTACCGTTAGTGTCCTGCATTGGCTTACATGGTCTGCACATCCCGTGATTAACTGTTTCTCCACCCAGGGACAGCCTCTATTTTCCTGCTAAACTCTGAACCTGACATTTTCCTCCACCAGCTGGGGCCTGGCAGCATACTCTGCCCTTTGCTACTCAGGCCCAACACCTCAGACATTATCCTAGCCTCTTCCTCAGGGTGAACTTTGTTCTGTTCCTTTTCCCCTCTGAAGAACTTTTATGTTGGTGTGGATTTTCTGTTTTCACAGTGGAGAAACTGTCCCATTTGGCCACTAACGTTTGGCTCAGCAACTTGGCTGTGTAAGCCACCCATTACTTTTGTAATCTTTATTACCACTTCCAGGAGTAGAATGATGTGTGCCTAAGGGTCAGGGCCTCTGCTGTCTGCACTTTTTAGTGTGTATTGTGTGTGCTAGGGTAAGTGCATGTGACTGCAGGCGCTCTTGGAAGCTGAAGGCATTGGGTCCTCCTGTAGCCACCATACTTGGGTCCTCTGGGAGAGAATGTGCTTGTAACTACTGAGCCACCTCTCCAGCCCTGTACATTCTGAAGGAACAAGGACACCAAAACTGCTGGCTTTACTGGTGAATTGGGCCATAAAACTGCTCTAGGGGGTTAACTTTGACACATGTATCTCCTTGTTTCTGGTTAGAGTTAGCTGCTATGTCCTGGGTGCAGCAAACCCAGGGCCTCACTAGCTCCTCCCTGGACAAGGAAACAGCATCAGTCTTCAGAAAACCCCAGACTAAGTGTTCCCTTCAGTACTGGATGTGGGGGATTGAAGAATAGCAGGCTTTTGATCTGATGAAGTTCTGTAGATTCCATTCATTTATAAAGGTGGCCCACCCCAGCACATGGCATGTGCTCTGCAGAGGGCACTTCTGGAGCCAGCTCTCCAGCTCTTACTAGCTGGAGCCTGGAACGAGGGTTCTCTGAAGAAACATCTTTCTCCCCTCCCCAGAGTTTGTCCCACTGTGAGCTCATTACAGATGAAGGGATTCTGCACTTGAGCAGCAGCACGTGTGGGCATGAGAGACTGCGGGTACTGGAGCTGGACAACTGCCTCCTTGTCACGGATGCTGCCCTGGAGCACTTGGAGAACTGCCGTGGCTTAGAGCGTCTGGAGCTGTACGACTGCCAGCAGGTCACCCGCGCAGGCATCAAGCGCATGCGGGTAGGTGGGAGTCCCTCCTCAGCAACCCAGAAAACATCCAGGCTGGTGAGAGCTCAGCAGATGAAGGTGCTCGTGCCAAGTCTGTCTTCCCGAGTTCAACTCCAAGAACACAAAGTAGACTAGAACCAATCCATGTTTTCTGACCTCCACATAACATGCTGTGGCATGTGCTGACTAGTGCACACAATGCACTTAAAAAAAAATTCAACATCCATTTCTTTAGTCTGTTGTGTTCATGCAAACTGGTCTGATTACACAGCACTACCTTAGGCTTCTTCAAACATCTATTCTTGGAGGTGGAGGCTCCATGTAGTCTGATGATTGGCACCCCCACAAGCTTTCATCTAAGGAAAGGTCACTGATTGAAGTGTGTAGGGGCTGTTTACAAATGCTGCCATTTGTCTTTAGAAGGTGCTAGACTTTGGGGGTCACAAAGGGTTGTAACAGGAGTTCTGGCTTACAGCACTCTACCTTCCTAAGGTTAAGGTAGTCCATTTTAAATGGACTTCAGGTTTTCAAAGACTATACAAGAACCCTAATACCAGGGCAGACTATTCCCCTTTTCCATCTCCTTCCAGGCTCAGCTTCCTCATGTCAAGGTCCATGCCTACTTTGCTCCGGTCACCCCTCCACCAGCAGTGGCAGGAAGTGGACACCGACTGTGCAGGTGCTGTGTCATACTTTGACAGCAGCTGCTTAGGCCAAGGCCCATCCTCCAGGTCAGACCAGTCTGCGTCACCATCACCCAATCTCGACTCTGCATTGGGAAAGCATTACAGGTAAAAGACTTCAGCACAGATGGCAGTAACTGGTGATACCATTCACCTTAACCTGGCTTGGGATGCAAGCAAATCAAAGCCTGTGTAGTTACCATGCGGCAGGAGTGGTACGGTGCAGCCAAGACTACACAAGTAACGCAGAGCCCTTCAGAGGTGGGTACCTACCTAGGAACACGAGCCCCGCCCGGCTTTGTCAGCGTTCTACACAGACCTTCAGTGTTAGCACAACCCAAGCAGAGCAAAGAGCCTGTGGTTTTTCTACCAATCCTTAAGCCAGTGGCCTACTTTAATTCATGATTCCTACTGATTTGCAGGACTTTTCACTTGGAAGACTAGAAGCACCGTTGTCAATGCGAATATACTGCAAACTGAGAATGGCTGGTGGTTCCCACGTAGAAACCCGTGGGAAAAGGCATGTTAGCTTATTTCCGTTAAGACACCAAAGAAGTGAGGACTCTGAGCTGGGTGGGGCAGGGTCTTCACCTTTCTGTTTATGTCAATGTGTCATACCCAACTCTAGGGACCAAAAACTAAACAAAAGCAGCCTATTTTGCATTGCCCCATTGGGAATAAGCTCTGCCATATGCTACAGCATACAGTGCATTTTTGCTAAAGGAAAAAAGCCAATTATGTCCACACTTTTCAAAAAATTTGGGGAACCTTGAAGAAATCCAGAATTATCTATAAATAATCAAATAAAAATAATGAACGGGTGCATGTAGAATGGATGTATTTTTTTTTTCAAATTTACTCTGAATTTTTAGAGATCATGACAGAACTACATTAAAGCTTTACTCATTTGAGTTTTTCATGTGTGAAGTGTTGGCAACTTTGAAACTCCTAACAGTGCTCACTGGAGTTGGTCAGGGGGCTTTACCGATGTAACGCTCGGGCTGGCAAATGTGAGCATTTCTCTTCTCTATTGCCTGCACCAGGACAGGAGGCCTGGTCTTCTACTGTGACTGCTCTGTGCCATCAACATTCCCCACTGCCTTCAGTGTAGCCACGCTGCGGTTAATGGTAGCTGACCTTCCCTAGCAATCACTCCCCAGCCAAAACTGCAAAAATGAGCAGTCTGTGTCTCTATGGCCAGCGTTAAAGCATCTGTATACACCGCCGCAGCTGCATTTTCAGAGGGGAAGCAGAAACACGCATACAACCTGGAAATTCATCAGGAGAATCCTTGTAAGCAATTATTAGCTCCTGTGGGTCTGACTGCCTCGTGGTATGCTGCGGTATTCCCTGATTTGAAGGCTATGTGAATATCACAGCAGCTATTATCTAAACTTGGAGGGCGGGGAGAGCATGAACTATACTTGCTCCAGTGATTCATGGACTGTGTCTATTAGATACCAGAGACAACCATATATTCCACACATTTCTTGAGCTCTATAGAATGCAGCCTATCAGAGATGCTGGACTTGATGCTCAGTGACCATAACTTCACTCACAGACTAGAAAAACCTCATGTCAGAAAGCCTGACTGTATTCTGTAAGTACAGGACAGCTCACAGGGAGTGTGTCCACTAAAGTATCTGGGACACACGCAGGGAAGCCCGTGATGCCCTGTGACCTGAAATGACAATGGCCAACAATTTCAAATGAGTGACACATTTACAAAACCATCAGAAAACATTTATTAGACTGAACTGTACATCCTATTAACCAAAGTAGCAAACTGCTGGTGCCGGGGGTTCTGCACAGTTTCACTGAGACAGACTAGCACTGTGTGCTGCTCAGCACAATTTCAAGTCTGAGGAGCTTGAAAGTACTTTCACCCCACTTCTAAAACCTGATAAGGAATTCAAAATAGCACACAGCATTAAATGACATTTATTGTTCCATAAATCATGAGATCCAAAAAAGGAAGCTAACAGACAAGCAAAATTCTAAAACCAATTAGATAAATTCACTTCTTTCCAAATAAGTGACTGGTACAGAAAGCATGTGGTCACAGAAAAGCAAGGGAGGACAGATGGAGTGTGCCCCTCGTGAAGGGCCTGCAGAGCTACAGCACTGCCAAGCCCAAGATGAACATACCGAGACGGAGTTGAGAATTTGTGGCAAATAATTAACCCCATTATGACTAAAACGCAAGACGTTAAAGCCTTCACCCGCTGAAGCAGTCATTCCTACCACCTGAGCAAGGCCAGACACAGCCGGCAGCTGAGCAAACAGGCAGAGATGCTACATAATTAAAATGGAAAAAAGCTTTGTAAAACTCAGACCTGCCACAGGCCTCACAAAAAGTTTACTGCTGAATCCTGGAGAGACAGTGATGAGGGAGTAATGGCAGCGGAGGGAGGGAAAGCCAAAGATCCCCTTAGAGTGGTGTGTGAGCTTGTGCTCCTATAGAGGCACGCCTGTTACAGAGCAGCAGCAAAGGCGCAGAAAACACCCCAACAGCCCCAACTAATCACCAGAGTAGACAGCCATGATTGTACTGAAACTCAGCATGTGAGGGTAGGAAAAGGTCAGGGTACATTTTAGTGTCTTGTTGTGACATCTAGTGTTTCCATGGGTACTTTCGCCTCATTCAAAACACCAAGTGAGAAGCTATCAACAATAATACTTTGATTCCCCCACCTAGTTCTAATGTCTGGGGAAGGGCTTTAGACATGTTTAACAGAGCCAGGCACAAAACAAGTGAGTATGCACCTGGAGGAGAGGGGCAGGTGAGAAAAGGAAACCACATGAGTTTAAAAGGCAAGGAGGTTTCAAAAAGTGAAATTTGGAAACTAAAAATGCTAAAAATGGAAGCAAAAGCCAAACACCCAAGTCTTTGTACCTATTAGGGTTTACACTGACCTTACGCCAAGGTACTTCGGATAGTTTGCTCATTTTCTCTGCTTGGCTCTTCCCTGGTCTGGCATGATCCTCTCAGATGTACACCTTCAGACATGATCGCCTCTGAGAAGGTGCTCAGCCCCTTACCTGACCAATGCTGCCATGTCAGCGCAGCTCCCCAAGGAGAGCACACCCTATCTCCTCCCCAGGTAGTATAAGGGTCAGGCAACAAAAGCCAAACTGGCACAGAAAGGTAAATGCCCACGGTTGAGTTTTTACATTCATTTCAAACCGCATACAGTGTCAAAAGCCAGCAGAGACTCCTGGGAACTTTGTCCACTGGCCCCTGCTAGGGAAGTGGGCACTGTGCCCACGCCATGGCCAGGAGCTGGTTGCACGTCGACTGATGTGCTCGCTCTCGTGAGGGTGCTGGGCTGTGGCAGTGACAACGAGGAGATTTGTCTCTCCTACAGCTCATTAGGAAGGTCATCTTGTGTTTTCAATATGAAACATTTCACAGTAAAATCCAATCCCAAGACTTCTTGGATTCAGTCTTCACACACTTTTAAGCATGACTTTATTTGGTACTGGATAGAGTTCAGTCTGTATAAGGTATCACTTCAAAATTATGTGAATACCATCATTATTTTCAGCTGCAAAAAAAAAAAAGTTAGAAAAGAAACGGTATTAAAGATGGAAATGTGCAATCTGCTTCAGAGGTTACAGCTTGACAAAAAGCTAACGGCGTCACTCTAGCTCTGCTTCCCTCCTGACAACTCCATGTACAGTGTTTCTACCACTGCTCTGGGCCCCGGGCCCCTGGCCCTACAGGGAACCTTGTGAGAAAACTTTGTATGCTAGAGGGTGAACAGGCTTGCACTGTGTGAGGGCGGACCCAAGAAAGCCCTGCACAAACAATGTGCAGGCAGCCTGTAGGTTCCATTGTAGACACACGTCTTTCCTGGAAAACCAATTCTCAGAGGCAGATACAGAGCAAGACTTTGCCTAGGGGCCTCAAAGTCATGAGAGGCAGTGAAGGAAGGCACTCACAGAAAGATGAAGGTTTCCATGTGGATGCAGTCTCCCAAGGGTAAACTAAACCTGGAGAGGAGTCCTGTGAAGACTAATGCCACAAGATACAAGCATGCAATTAAGCACGCGTTTCTGGTTTTTTTTGAACTTTGCAAAATAAAAGCTATATAGTTTTGAAATTAAAGATGTCTAAGAAGTGAGCCAGTTCACTGCTTTGTCAGACCTGCAGGTAGCTTAATGGCCAGTGGCATATATTACAATCAGGTATAAAGCAAAATTATAATTTCAAAACCCTTTGGGGCTACTGCTTTGCAGAGTGACTACCAGGAAGGGGGACAGGTGTGTGTGTGCTGCCTTCAAAAATCCCTTCCCTCTCTAACTTTGTAGTTTGGAGCTCACTTGACCTAGCCTGGACCTCTTCCCACACTGCTGCCTAAGTAGTACTGCACAGCCTGCACAAATCTCAAGTCACTACTGACATCCAAAATTTCTAAATTAGTACATCGAGCCCAAGGCACCTCAGGATGGTACAATTAGCTGCCTGCTTGACATACCAAGTTGTTTTGCATCAGCCTTACCTTTGACGAGGTGGCAACCTGCCTGGCAGTCACAACTACTCCCTCATCAAACAGGAAGCCCACTGGGCCCTGCCCATGTCCTCCCTCCCATTGCCTCTGGCCTAGCTGGATGGCCTGCCTGTGTTTCTGCCATTTTGTTAGCTGTCTCCACAGTTGTAGAAGAAGAAAACCCAATCCCATTATTCCTTTGTTTAAACCACTCCACTGACTTCCCAACCCATCTGAACTAAGATGCAATGACATCACCAGCCATCACTGGGTGCCAGGACCTGCTCTCCTCTTGGCCCCACTCTGCTCTCCCTCACCCTCCATGGCCATCTTCCAGGATTCACAGAAGCCAGTCCTGTGGCCTCCTCGTTGTTCAACTCCCCTCCTTAGAAAAGCCATCTGCAACAGCGCCATGCTTCCCTCTCCCATTAGCCCACTTCATTTCTTCACAGCACCTAACACCGGTCAGTTTCCGTGCCTGTGGCCTTTTCTGACTTTTCCCACTACCCTTGTTCATTTAGGCACTAACAGTCAGTCTTGGATACACAGCCAGGCATCTAGAAAAACCAACCCTTTCTACATCTGCTAGACAATTTCTATTAAAAACACTAAAAATACTGTTCATGTTCCAATCTCTTAAAATTAGCAAAGATATCTTTTTCAAGAATACCCAGTACCCTGGAGGCAGAGAAGGCCAACCTGGTCTACACTGTGAGTTCCAGGATAGCCAGGGCTACACAGAGAAACCCTGTCTGGAAAAAAGATAGGATATGTACACACACATGGATAGTACCTTTCACTGTGGAGAATAAAAAACAACTCTCGTCTTGGAAGTTCTGAACCATCTAGAAGGATAAAGCAGATGTGTAAGTGTATGAGACCTGCCTGTCCTCCTTAACCAGCCATAAATGGTTCAATCTGTAGTTAACGGACTACAACATAAGCTTCCTTACACAATTACAGGACTCAGGTAACTCATGGCGGCAGATAAAGATGGTAAAGTCTACACCTGACACTGACTTCAAGACTGTGCTGTCTCCCTACTTTACCTCTGTTCGTGAACATAGCTTGAGCAGGGGCAGGTTGTACTTGTAATATCACATGTTTTTAAAAGACTGCTCTTCCAATCATGTGTAAAAGGAGAACATATCTAAGGCCTCACCTCACAGGAAAGACTAACACTAACCTTAGAGCCCCAGAAAGTATACGAGTTCAAATAGGTCAGGGAAGCTCAATCTGCTAAAATGCTGTAATTCCTGGTTATAAACTTACACATTTTGATCCCACCTCTTTAAAAATTGACTGTCAATACTCGCAAAAGAAGTCAGCAGGATTTCTTACAGTTCCAACAATATATATGAGTGCCACTGTGACAGAAAGAGGGACTACTGCCTGCTTGATTTACCTGGTCACTAACA